TAGAGGTGGCCGTAAATCGGTTTCTCGCGACGTGTTACCCCTATATCTGATAGAAAATTGACGAGTTTTGATGAAAGATTTCTGCTTAAAAGTTGGTGTGTGATGTCAGCGATAATATTGTGCATGGCATTGCCAGCGTCTTTTGTGCTCCACCCTATCGAGGTCGACGGTACGCACCGCGCATGATGCGCGAAGTAGCCACGAAACTACGTACATGGCAAACAAACAAGCTGCCCTGCGTAGGCACAACCTTGTACTCTGACATAGGAAAAGAGTACTACGCCAAACTAGGCTGGCGAGTCGCCGCCACAAACTCACATGTCGAGCTCCAACCCGCAGCCATCGCGTGGCCCGCCGGCGTCCACCCAATCGCCGAGCACGACATCGAAGACCTGTGTCAGCGCGACGAAGCCCGGATACGCGCGCACATGGCTGTTCCTGCTGCAGGGCCCAAAACCCGGTTTACCATCCTACCGGATTCCAAGCACATGGGCTGGCACCTGGGCAAAGAAACCTTCACTACCAAGCACCTGTTTGGCAAAGTACCAACAGCCAAAGGCGCCATTATCGGTGCACCAGGCACCCAGATCTGCGTCTTGTAGACACACAGATACTACAATGGGCTTGACGCCACGCCCAGCAACAACGTCCTCTATATCCTGCGTCTCGTCATTGAACGCGATCAAACTGCCACCCGGCTTCCGTCTGACGCCGCGAAAAGGCCGTCTGAAGACGTGTGCGAACAGCAAACTGCGTATCTCAAGGCGGTCTTGCAGGCGGCTCAGGCAGAGGCTAGCGAGTGGCGTCTGGATTCGATCCAGATGTGGGATCCGACGCCTTTGGCGGTGGATTTATTGGGTAAGACGGGGGTGGAGTATCGTCTTGTGCAGAGAGAGACGACGAGTATCGCCAGCTTGATGTGGTATGCTGACGGTGGGGACATGCCGTTGTGGTTGAATAACGAGCATTATGCGTGGCAGTGATGGGGGAGTCTTAATCTTCATCCGAGTACGGTAATTTGAATGGTTGATTCTTACCTACCCGCTCAAAGTCTCTTCTTCTTCTTCTTCTTCTTCTTCTTCTTCTTCTTATTGTTATTATTATTAATAGTTTGTGAGCAGTAAAAATCGGTGAAACTATACGATTCCAAGCTGAATTCGTCGTCGGGAGCTGTTTTGGGCTAAGCAATTGGTGCAAGATTCACTCTGTGACTGCATGGTGCTATCGATATGTTAAATGTAGCAAGTAATACAACACCTTCTGGCACCTTACAACTTCCTACTAGGAATCACATCATAACATAAAGCGGGAACCGAGATATCTGAGCCCCAGACAGCGAGGGAGGATGTGCCAATCACTTTCTTTTCTTTCCGAGCCAAAAGGAGACGCATAATACTGGATCAAGTCTAGGGCTTTTCAGGCTAATATCACTGTTACACAACATGACTGCCTCCGCACCTCTGTTGTGAACAATAACGCTTTTCCGCTTAGCGCACTGTGTCCCATGTATGACACGTCAATTGGCGTCCGACGCGTCCTGTCGCGTTCACATTTTCTTGTGTATCACGTGAGTGGTGTATTGCAATGAGTACAGTCAGCAAGTGACGTATGGCTATCGGCTAGCACCACTGTTCACGCTAGTTCTAACAGAGAGCACTGGGTGTGTTTGAGTGGGACACAATTCACGTGGTGACATGGGGGTGAGATACGCTATATAATCGCGTCTCCCAGTGAATTGAAACGAGCAGACTTTGAGTAGAGTCTGTTCAGCAGAGATTTCACTTGGGCAGATGGATGTGACAGGGCCGGAGGCCAAGCCGTACTCTGAGCAATCTAAGCCTGGGGGGAGCCCGGCAGAGAGGACTGGTGGAGAGAGATCCCGAGGCGCAGGGCTGGCTAAGTCCGTTGGGGTTGTGGGGAAGTCTGTAACGGCTGTGGATCTAGGACTACAGTCTTGTCGTGAAGCATGTAGAAAGCGTATGTGGTATTTGGGTAGAGTGCCTGCGACGTTCGTGGTATGCGACCGCCTAGTGCTAGTTGTCCTACATTGATGTCCATAGTGGTGGTAGATAGGTTAATGGCGGTGTTAGGATCGAATTGCTGTTGACGTTATGGATACACCGAGTGCGTGGTGTGTCTAAAGCCACAGTGCTCGGTCTGCTACAGCCACAGTTGTGGCTGAGGTGGCGCGGTTGGTATGTACTAGCTTGATGTCCGGACGTTACTGTACATAGGCAAGAACTCATGTCCTTTCAGGTGTTAGTCTACATCATCGCGAATAAGGACACTCAATATCGGCAGATTGAGAATGGAGGATGTAGTCTTGGATTAGATTACGGATATAGAATTAGAATTGGAATTAATTTATTATTTTAATCGATTATAGATACAGTGGCACTTTCGTTGATCATTCACAAACAGGTCTATTCGGGTTAGAGTATTCATAACATTGTTTTACGCACAATTGGCAAACCCAATTCAGATACATGTTTCGCCACAACCAATGGATCAATCAACATGAATATTTACATTCGTATTTCATATACACTTCCTATGTGCCAAAGGGCGGTAGGTCAATAGAATAGCTGAAAGATGTATAGCCTATTTGTTACCATTGTATGCCAGTAAATTTGTTGAGCCCATAGGGTCCTTCACAACGTTTGGCGTGCCCAGCGCATACACCCTCGCCTTAACAGCGGCGGCAGTCGATGGCCCCTCGAGACCGCGGAGGTACGAAACCAGACCAGCTACATGAGGAGACGCCATGGAAGTACCAGTCTGGGTTGCCGATCCTGAGTCGTTCAAGTTGGACGCCGAAACGATGTTGGTTCCTGCAGCGAAGATGTCGACAGCAGAGCCGTAGTTTGAGCCTCCGCCGCCACCGTGCCTCGTGTTGTCAATCTCAACATTTCCGACACAGATGACTTCGGGAGAGCGACCTGGCGAGTTGTTGCTGGCGGGCGCGTTCGAGTTTCCTGCTACTGCGACGATGAGGACACCTTTGTTCCAAGCTGCAGTGATGGCGGCGTCCCATGTGGTAGAAGCGGATCCACCAAGTGAAATATTGATGACGCCGGTGTTTGTTCGGCCCTTGGAAACAATGTCGTTGACTGCCCAGTTAAAGCCTGCAAAGACATCGGATGCGCTTCCGCTGGCGCCATCCAGGACCTTTACAGCTACGATCGTGGTCTTCTTGGCGACACCATACTTTGCACCACCAACGGTACCAGCTACGTGCCTAGAATGGGTCAGATGGCGAAAATGTATGTGCTGGGAAAGATTGCTTACGTTCCGTGGCCGTCATTGTCTGCGTTAGCAGTTCCTGATACGGCGTTGAAGCCCCAGATTGCCCGTCCCTCGAAATCGTTGTGAGTGATACGAACGCCAGTGTCTGGATAAAAGGTTATTATCAAATCAACATGTGCATGGTCTCGCTACTTACCTATGACGTAGGAGAAGGTGCCTTTGCCTGCACTGTCGTCGTATACATAAGAAGTAGCTCCCGGCGTGCGAGAAGAAATGCTAGCCAGGTCCCAAGGTGGACTCGACTGAGTGACAATGGCGTTGGTTCGCATGATGAAGTCTTGTTCAATAGTGAGGACCTATACATGGTTTCAGCATTGCGACATGTTTTTTGGTCATATAGCCTCAATTACCTCGGGTAGGCTCTTGAGCTCTTGAACGGTCGCCTCATCAAACGACCCAGAGTAGGCTTTGAAGTCGCCAAACGCGTACTCGTGCTCCACCGGGGAACCGTCCGAACCATCGTCACCTCGCCGAGCTACATTGCGGGCATGTATGCTGCGCACTTTGTTGTGGTGAGCTGCGACAGATGCGACGTCGGTGTCAGGCTTCAATTGGACAATGTATTTTCCAGGAATCACCTCATTCGGCGGAGGCGCCGCAACAGGAGCTGCCTGAATGAGAAATGGAGCTGCAGCCGCAGCCAAAGCAGCGATACGAGTGAAGAGCTGCATTGTGGATAAAAGCAAGGCGTATGCGAACTAGACGAGACCAGTCTACCATTGCTGGACTATAAGTATGTGCTTTTTTGCATTGTCCCAGGTCCGTCGCATAGACTATAGTAATTGCAAGCAACTACCAATACAAATATTTCTTGTCGTTTCTTAACTTCTGCCTTTTTGGGCGTAGACTGCCCAAAATACTTCGTATAGATTTACAAGAAACGATTCGATAGGAATAATTGAACGGCCGCCAAGACGGCAAACCAGGGGATTTTTGGAAGGAAGGATGACATCCCTGTTCTCATGGCTAGTGACTTCTGGTTTGAGTTACTGTATTCCCCAAAACAATATTAGCTCGGTCGTATCTAGTACTCTCCTGCCTAAAACGACGTTTTGCATTGTCAAATTACTCCAACATGCTCGGTGTGTCCAGAATCCTGAACGAGTTTCATGTTTATTTATGCTACTGAGTACAGAACATAGCCTCCTGAGATTTCATGTTCAAGCATGGTCATTGCTAACCAGTTCAAGATGCTAATGCCAGATATCTCGATGAGTCGCTTCACAGACTATTTTTGTAGGCTTATGTTAGCAGACGATCAATCTTTGGGCATTTCGCCGAGTCTTCCAAGGTATAGTTTCGGTGCCCGAAGTTTATGGATGGAGAGTTATAGAGCGGAAAGGAGATATTCCCGAAGTCTTCATCTACATGCAACTCGTCCAAGGGCTCACACTCGAACAACAATGGCCCAAGTTGTCTACGACTAACAAGGAAACAATCTGTAGCGATCTACGTGTTAAGGTGTCTTGTCTTCGCAATCTTCAGGGCAGTAAATCACAGTAAGTCATCGATAAGCCTTTTAGGCAGACAGGTGCGACTTTGCTAAATCCTAATAGGGTCTGTGTGGTGCAAAAAGGTCAACCTTCTGCACCATGCAGAAGGTAGAGTAGATATATCCCGACAGTCTATATATCATGGTTCTGCGCCAGATGCTTGTCTGGAGCCTTTACCTTTACTGAGGCCGTTTCTCTCTCGAGCTGAGTTCCATGATTGGCTTTCCTGGCTGTGGCGCTGGAATGTTCCTGATCCACAGAGCATCGAAGACCCGTAAAGGGACTTGCTTTCAGACAACGGATCTATTGTGTTTACGCATGGGGATCTGCGTCCAGCTAACATCATCGTCACTGCCACGAGTTCTCCGAAGATTGTCGCAATTCTTAATTGGGAACAGGCAGGCTGGTATTCGGACTAGTGGAAAGACTGTAAAGCAAGGTTCACAGCATCGTATAGTGGAGAGTGGCGTGGCTTTGTTGATTAGTTATTGGATCCTCACATGGACGAATTGGAGGCATTCGATTTCTACATGTACACACTCGGTCGATTTTCAACATATCATCTTCGAGCGAATGGTTTGTCTTTGTTAGCATGGGAACAAACCTAATGGTACATTTACGTCGGCTGAAAACGGTCAGATCACATGGCGATTATCTGAGAAACCCAGGCTAACATTTCCAAAACAAAAACAATATCGCGGCTTTACCTGATGAGGTATAGTTCCCTAGAGGCAGATCTGTACTTAGCCTGGAGACGGCGTTGAACAGCACGATCATCACTGTATTCTACTTCATAGCACTACTTGTTGCTCTCTTTTTATTTAGCGTTTTGATATTGCGCTTGACTCTCTATACAAATGCGTATATCTCATGCTACCTAAAGATACATCTTTCCTAACAGTCTAAGTGTCGTGCATACACGTAGTCCAATGAATTCTGAACGCGATTTAGATGGGTAGAATACAGGTGCTAGGCTATATGCTTAGATTCTGTAATCGCGTATCAAGATATCAGAGAGATCTACTGTGGAGGAGTTGTGTGGAACTGCGATGTCTTCTCAGTAGAGGGAACAGAACTAAAGGTTCTTCCCCTTCCCATAGGCTATGGGAGAGGGGAGAGGGAGTAAAATATATGTAGTTGGTTCTTCGAGCAAGAGATTTTTCTAAGAGATATTGTTAGTTTTTTTTTCCTCTAGACTTGACTATCAATTTATGTTCCTTCTTAAAGGTAAGCAGTGCTTAGTTAGCACAAAGGTTATAGTGACCCTATGCCTTAGCACAAACCTCCTAAACTTAAGAGCTTGGCCCTATTAAGCTCACCTCTACTACACACTAAATACCCCTCTCTAAAGTACCCTCTAGTTCCTTCCTAGTTGCAATTTGTTCACCACCCCTATCTATCCTATCTCTTACGTCTAGCCATCTTGTCTTCCCTGCGGCTTCTATGCAGATGCTAGGTTCTCCGCTCCTAACCCGGCGTCTGTGCCTTACTTCTATGCCCCTTTCCTTAGTTAACCACTACGCCTTAGTTGCGTACTTAGACTAGTGACTTAGCGCAACAAAGAGAGAGAGTAAAGCGATTATAGCAGTAACAACAAACTAGAACTAACACTAGAGCCACAACAGCGCTAAGCTAGTGTGCTAGGAGGTAAATTGTAAGTTAAGAAGAACGACCTCCTAAACTAAGACATTAGGAGGCCTATAGCCTGCGCAGCTAAGTTCTTATTAGGTTCTAGCGTAAGTTCTATCTATAGATAGTTAATCGCGTTAGCTTTAAAGAAGTCCTTGTCCTATTTGATCTAGTCTCCTACCTTATCTAGATGTACTCTATCGTTTGTGAAGAACAATTAATCTAGTATACCTTCTACAGGGTTAGCACAAAAAGCATCTTATTCTAGCTTTACAATTAATAGCAGTAGGCGTTTTAGCTATCTAATTATAGCATCTCTAGTATCTAAGATAAAGTCTTAGATTAACTCTGCTATTCTATTTATAATCTCCTCTTAGAACTCTTCCTGCACTAATAGATTATTCTAATAAGCTTATTTAACTAAGGCCTTTTAGATGTAAGAATTAAAGTTAAACTTAACGTTAGCTAGAAAAGCCTAATTAATCCTACTATACTTGTTTAGGTAGCTAGATAGAGAGCTTAGAGGTGCTATAAGCGTCTAATAAGCCTTAAGGATATCTTTATAGGTTCCTATAGCTAGTAACGTGTTTTACAAGCGAGCGCCGCGTACAAGGGAGCGCCGCACCCCACCAACTTTGTGCACCTCTCTCATCTCAATACATAATGGCTCAACGCAACGCTAGTCAGTTAGCTTTAAATGAAGCAGATATCCAGCTTGCTATATCCTCTATTAAATCTGGTCAGATACAGAGTAATCGCAGTGCTGCTGCTATCTATAACGTGTCAGAACGAACAATCCGCCGCCGACGCGTCGGCAAGCCTGCCCGACGCGATTGCCAGCCCAACTCAAAGAAGCTTACCAAGCTAGAAGAGCAGGTGATAATTGATCATGTACTTAATCTGGATCTACGTGGATTTTCGCCTACCTATGCAGCTGTGCGAGATATGGCTGATAGACTGCTGGCTGCGCGCGGCGCTGGCCAGGTTGGCGTCCACTGGCCGCGCAACTTTGTCAAGCGTACTGACAGTCTTACAACGCGTTTTAATCGAGCGTACGATAGGCAGAGAGCCTTGTGTGAAGATCTAGTCTTAATCAAGAGCTGGTTTGAGCTTGTGGAGAAGACAAAGGCTAAGTACAGCATCTGTGACGAAGACGTCTATAACTTCGACGAAGCGGGCTTTATGATAGGC